CCCCACCCGCTCCACGCTCACCTCACGAGGGGGGGCTCTGGCCTCTCGCACCCCTCGAGGGACCGGCCTTGGCCCCACTGCTGTGGGGTGGGCACTGGGGGGGGCTGGGGCGCTGGGGAAGCGAGGGGTGGCCCCGGAGGGGACGGGCGGTGTCCAGGTTCCCCGGTGCTGGGGAGGGGGCTCAGGGGGACCCCGCTGCAGGGGAGCCAGAGGACCGGGGCCACCCTGCTCCCAGCCACTCTGGCTGTAGGGGGCCACACAGGGGTCAGGGGGACCTGGGGGCCCCCCCCCCCCGAGGACACCCTCCATGCCAGGACAGGAGTGACCCCAAAACCGGAGCCCCCCTGGCTCCCACGCTCGGCCCCACCATGAGACATTTCCCTGGGCTTGTGCCCACCTGCCTGCCTCCCCCCAAACGCAGTGGCCCTTCCCGGCGAGCGTCGTTGAACCCCCGAGCCCCCACAGCGGCGAGGACCCCCCACCCACCCCAGCGAGGCACTCAGACCAGCTGTCCCCTTGCAGCCATGTTTGCCCTCCAACCCCCTAGCCCCACAACGCTACAGCTCCGGTTTGGGAGAGGCAACCACCGGCACGTAGACCCCATCCCCACCACGCCGCTCCGTCCCCTCCACCGTGTCCTCATCGATCTGCCCCGGGATGCGAAAATCGACAGGAGGTTGGTCCCGCTTGGGGCTGGGGGTGCGGGGCCGGGGCTCAGTGGGACAACCAGTGCCCTGGAGAAACTGGAGGAAGTTCTCCTCGATGGAGCCCTCCCGGCTGGGCAGCCGCAGGTCCTCCTCCGGCGGCTGCTTGAAGAAACAAGTGAGGAGCCGTCCCAGCTCACCCCGGATCTGCCGGTTGAGGCACCCGTAGAAGAAGGGGTTGGAGGTAAAGCAGAAGTAACCGAGCCAAGTGACCACGGTCTCGGCCGCCGGCCCCACCAAGGGTTGGGCGCTCAGGGCGGTGTAGAGGTGGAAGGAGAAGTAGGGCAACCAGCAGAAGAGGAATTGGCCCCCCACGGCCAGCAAGATGGCGGCCGCTTTGCCCCCCCCGAACGTCCTCTGCGGTGTGGTGCGAGGGGCTCCCGAGGTGGTGACCATGGTGGAACGGCTGCTGAGCGACTCGGAGCGACGTCGTGGCGTCTCCATCCAGGTGGGGAGGGGGCCGTGGTGCATGGCGGCCACCCGCGCCACCTTGAACATGCTGCAGTAGACCACCACGATGATGAGGAGGGGCAGGAGGAAGTAGAAGGCGGCAAAGAAGACCACAAAGAACTTGCAGTAGGGACCGCGGCTCCATTGCAAAGAGCAGCCACGGCCGGCGGGTGCCGGCGGTCGGTCGGGTGACAACCAGCCCAGCACGGGGACGAGGGAGGTGGCCACAGCTTTGAGCCAGACACCGACGAGGACGCAGGCTACCAGCCCCACCGTCATCCTCACCTCGTAGCGCATGGGGTGCACCACGTAGTAGTAACGTTCCACGTTGATGGTGGAGATGGAGAGGATGCACATGCTGATGAAGCAGACGCTGAGGAACAGGTAAACGCGGCACATGGCCTCGCCGAAAACCGGGCTGTCGAAAACGGCCGAACCAGAGAGCATCTCCAGCGGCATCAGGGTGAGGGCGGCCAAGAAGTCCACCAGGCAGAGGTGGAAGACGAAGACGAACTTGCGCAACGCCGGCGTCTTCACGATGACAGTCATGACGGCGGCGTTGCCCACGATGGCCGTCAGGTCAATGAGCAGCATGAAGAAGAGCCCCACCGATTTAGAGGCCACGTCTTTGGGTTTGCCGTCAGCTGTGCCGTTGGGGGGCATGGGACCTGGGGAGGGCTGGAGCCCCCGCGCTGCCCTAGAGCCATTCCAGGCCCACGGGGCAGGCAGGGAGGGCTCCATCCTGTGCCGCCGCACCGGCGCTCACCGGCCCATTGCCCATTCTTGGGGCGGCCAACGCGGGGCAGCCGGGCATTGCCAGGGGCTCACATCTTCGCCCGCCCTACGCCTGCCACCGGCCCCGGGTCGCGGTCCGGGGACGGGTGCTGTCACGTCGGTGGCACTCAGAGCACCCAAGGGTGCCCCCCGGCCCCGCTCATCTCCCTGCTCCTCGCTGCCAGGCAGCGCCGGGCACCTGTGGGGAAGGTAGAGCCATCAGCTGGGGGGGCACGACCCTGGGGGAACCTGTGAGAGCCCAGGAGGGGTCTCAGCTCAGCTGTGATCCCTCAGCCGCAGCCCCCATCACCCCTCGGTCCCCGTCCATGACACCCCTCCCCACCAAACCCGTTTCTCAACCGAAAGCCTCATGCCCTCCAAAAATGAGTAATTCTGGGGCTAAAGCCCCCAAACTCCAACGTTTCAGCCCAAAACACCCCAGCGGGATCCTTCGCCCAGAGCCTGGGGACCATGAGGGGTCGCAGGGATGGGGGGGGGTATCACCAGCACCCTGAACGCCTGGATTCACCCCTTGCGCTTCGAGGGCCCTGTGTGACCCCCCACTCTGAGCCCATCCCCAGGTTGGGTGCTGCAGCCCCCCACACCCCAGTGTGTGCCACCTGCTACAAAGCAGAGCCCAGGGTGCGGGTGGGGGGGCTGGGGACCACCCCGGAGCCCCCTACCTATGGGTGCTTCCCCAGCGGGGAGGGGGTCCCCATCCCCTGCACCCCGGGGAGCCCTCGAGGGGGGGAGGTTGCTGTCGGAAGGGGGGTGCAGGCAGTGGGTGCCCCCCCCCCTCCCCGCCGGCCCCCCCATCTCCAGCAGCCCGGGGCGATGCCGCCGGCTGATGTCCCCTCTCCCACCCCCGAGGTAGGGG